GTTTTTTTTAAAAGAATTATTTCATTTAACTTTATCTATTTTTATTTCTTATGTACATTCTTCAAAACAAAACTCAGGGACTTTAAGATGGGAAAATGATCAAGAGTAAAATTCATTATGCTTAACATAAATACATACTGATTATCCATCTTTGTGTTGTTTTTTTTTTTTTCCAGGAAGCCAAGGGGGATTATACCAGGTAATGATTCCTTTTACTATGCAAAATAACCCTAGCTGAATCATTTTATGCCGTTATTTTAAATAACAATAGATGCAAAATCAAAAGAGAGTAGATCCCAAGGCAGGAGGTTGAGATCTGCTCCCTCCCCGCATAGAGACCTATTCTTTTTGTGAATGAATCTGGGAATGAACCGTCCTTACAATTTTTCAAGCCAGAGTGACAGTGAATTGCAATCAGGAGCCCTCTAAAGTTCTATTTTCTGTCATCTGTTAGTTAGTGAGATGAAGAAATCTATAAAAAGCTTTGGTAGCTTGTGCTGCTTTTTTTTTTAACTGTATAAAAATCTTGCGTTTGAAGAGTTATAAAGTATGCACAAAAAAATTAAATCCATCAGCTGCTTGGTTAAGGGATTAATAGGGGCTTTCTTTGGCAGCTGCCCTGAAGGGGCCTCAGCCTTCCTACACTTGACCTAACAGTTGCATTACTGCACATACTGCCTCCAACTGCCTAGCTGGCCACATCATCAAAGAGTGTTTGTATTCGAATTCACCCGCTACCTGCTCCTTCTGTCCTTTTAATGCAGTAGTCGTAGCTGGAGACATAGAAACGGTTAAAGGTGGAGGCCAGGCCTCCCATTAGAAACAGCTCACAGGCTGTCCCAGTGAAAACCTTGCCTTTGCCACGTTAATGTTCGACTCCTGGTAAACTTTCCCTGTCGATTATTTACAGATCACCTAGTACTCATTCCCAGCCAAGTCTCTTAACAATGTGCTTTTTAACAGGCTGATAACAAAATAACGCTGAACAAGCTTGAAAACTTCAAGTCCCAGAGTAATAGGTCACTTCAGAAACTCTCTCCTCATCAGACTGGTCACCTCATTCACTCACCACATGCTCCCATTCATTTGTTTTGTGCTGTATTATTATTTTTTAAAATTAGGTTAAGAAATACGCTTTGGGAACCAGCAGTTAGCATAATGGCTATGTCGCTGGACTCCCACGTAGTCGACCGTGGTTCACGTCCCAGACCCGGTGGCTTAAAACTCACACCGGGCATGTGTGCGTGCATGCCCAAGATCCCGAGAGGAGAATGGAGGAGAAGGGATTGCAGCGTGGCCATCCTCCCTGGAGGGTGATTTCTCACTTTCTGTCTCTATGTCTCTCTCTGTCGGTCTGGCGAGCGCACGTGCCCTATAGCAAAAACCTCTCCAAAAAAAAAAAGAAATACGCTTTGAAGGATTCATGAAAATCAACAAATACCAGTTTAATAATAATAGAAAAAAACTAGAGGGAAAATGGCTAAGGATAAAAAGAGGATAAATGAGTTTCTAGATCATTAATAACATCAAGAGCTGCTGCATCTGGGCTGCTGTCTTTCCCAGAGGAGCCGCATTTCAGCTAGAGGAGGAAGTCGTCATTATGGGGATTTGGGGGGGCCATTCTGATGTCAATTTGTAATTGAAGGCTTCAGGGTTGAACTCACGCTCTGTAGTCTGTGGACTGCCCACCTTCCCTGCCCCACCTGCTCCCTGTGGGATCCAGCATGGGCTCAACACCCCCTGAGCCTCGGTTTCCCCATCAGTGAGCTCGCCTTGATCCCACAGGACCATTATGAGAATTCAGTATCCTTGCCCAGGGCAGAATCAGGCCAGCAACAAGCTCATACCCTTTGGTTATTATTCCCGATTTAGTGCCATTGTCCTCCCATCATTGTCATCATCTGGTCCAGTCTCTCAGCTATCTCTGAAGAGGCTTCTGAGACTAAGGAAGGTCTGAAGCAGCTACAAAAAGCTGTTGGAGGAAAGAACAAAAGGAGAAAAGTAAATTTTAGAAACTTGCCTTAGGGGGTGCCAGTTGGTACATGGTGGTTAAGGTACTGGCCTCCCACATGGCTAACTATGGTTCAAGTCCCGGACCTGGCGGCTTGCTTTCTCTCTCTCTCTCTCTCTCTCTCTCTTTCACTCTATCTGTCTCTCTCTGTTCAACTAAAATAATAATGATGATTCTGGTGAACAAAATAATTATAAAAAAAAAAAAAGAAAAACTTGCCTTAGGGAAGGTCTCTTGACTGTGGCAGAAGACATCTTAAAAGGGACAGTCGGTAGGGCCTAACACTGGTGCAGAGGTAAAACATCATTGTTCTGTAAGGCTGACCCACACCGGAAGGTTCTGGGTTCACATCCAGAGGCCTCCCTGAGTTCACCATGCACACATGTGGCCATGATGGGGGGTTGGCTGGGGCTGGGGGTAGATCTCTGTGTTCGGTCCATGCTGGTGGTGCTGTCTCTGTCTCTGTCTCTCTTGCTCATGGAAGAAATTTTTAAAAATAAATAAATAAACTTAAAAGAAGGGATAGAGGCAGCCTTTATGTAGTCCAGACTACAAAAAGTCCTGGGACTTCAAGACTGGTAAATTAATTCTAACTAAACCCAGTCTAACCCTTTTCCTTAACTTTAGTTTGTTCCTTGTAGTTTCCTGAATGATCTCTAGGCTGAAGATGTAGCACATACTGATTTGACATGGTCCCCACTACACTGAGTAGTCGAAAGAGCGTGAGGATGGGAATCACGAAAACACCAACTAGCATCACCCTGAATGAACCTTTCATCCTTTCTGAGGCTCAGTTTTCTCACCTCTAAATTGGAGGTCATCAAAATAGCAACTTTGCAGGGTTTTTAGATTAGTGGCGTGGAAGGGTTTTGTAAATGATAACTCGTTTCACGACATTTATTATTGCTCGTGAGGATGAAAGAGATCATAAGAAATGCGAACATTTGGCATCCGGCTTAAAATGAAGCAGTTTGGGTTCCCTATCTGATGTCCTCCTCTCAAAAATGGAGAGGATATGTTTCCCTTCCAAAAGTTTGGTTATTGAAACTAAGAAAACCAAGCAAAATTAAATACCATGAAACAAGCCAGCCTCTGGCCTAGTGATTAATATGGCTAGATCCCACATGGCCAATCCCATGGTTCAAGTCCTGGATTTGGCAGCTTGAAAAGCGCACTGCGTGTGTGCATGCCCCACATCCCACCAGGATGGAGAATTGAAGAAAGGGTTGTGACTATGCCCTGCAGGGGATGGGGGAAGGGAAATTTTCTGTGTTTTCCCTTTTTCTGTGTCCCTCTCTGACAAGAGCACATACTCTCTGGGAAAAAAAAAAAAAGATGAAGCAACTTTGAAGTGGTTACAGCCAAGACTCTAGACTAGACGGCCTCATTAAAATCCTAGGTTGGCCTTGTGCAATCTTGGACAAATTACTTAGCTCTCCAAGCCTCAGTTTCTTCATCTGTGAAATAGAACTTAGAATAATAGTAACACCTCATAGGACTGCAATGGGGATCGAGTGAATTAACTCTTTAAGTATGTTGTCTCTGCAGTTGCTACTTCAATACTTCCATCAGCGTGATGGGCATGATTCACCACTCCCCTGTTACAAATATGAGTTGTTTCCCATTTTTTGCCCATGTAATTAATGCTGTGATGAACACCTTTGTGCATCGGAGACTGTCATTATTTGTGACTATTTTCTTAAGTGAAGTTGCTCCGGTGGGAACATAACAAAGGAGATTTTTTAAAAGAGACAAGGAGCTGAAGTGGAAGTTATGCCCTCTTGCCACCCCGAAGTCTCACTTAGAAGAGACTGGCAGCTATATGCAGTAAGGGTCTACTGAACCCTAAAGTGTGTCAGTACCAGTCCAGGCACTGAGGAGGCAAAGACATGACGGGCCTTGAAATGTTTGTGGCAAAATAAAATTAAATTAGGAGTTTTATGCTGATGCAAAACTGTTTGAAGACCATGCATAGTATTTTCATAAAACACATTCTCCACAAACTTTTTTTTTCCTCTAACATTGATTTATTTATTTATTGGTTGTGATTTTCAAGCCATTGGGCCAGTCATGTGTCTTACGCATGCCTTAGTCATGACACCATCTGCTGGCACTTCCATGCACTTTTTTTTAAAAAATTTTTATTTGTTTGTCTATTTATTTGCTGTGACTTTCAAGCCACTAGGTCTAGGACTCAAACTGTGGGTGACCATGTGGGAATATAGTACCTTAAGTATCATGCCACCTGCTGGCCCCTCCATGAACTTTTTAAAGACCCCTTATACATATGTCAGGGGCCTTCCTTCTGAGGAATTGGACTTTCTGTGGCAAGGGCAGCTTAAGTGGTAATTCCGGATTGCACTTTTCTGTTGGTTTACACAGCGGAGACTATAGCTCTTGGTTTATAGACCTGACCTTCACTGAGTTTCCCCACTGCCGTTTGTACATTGACCAAAAACTCCTAAACATTTTCTAGATCAGGACAATGTGGCTTTTTACATTAAAATAGTAGTTGAAGACCTAATTTTTAAGGCTGCTCTGGCCCACTTCTGTGTCTCACTCTTACTTTCTCAAATGTAGCATTTCCAAAACTGAGTTCCTCACCCTGTCTGCCTCCAAACCAATCCCTTTTCCACTGCCTCCTTTTGAATTACATCTCTGTTTTGTTTCTCTCTCCCAAAGCTTATTTATTTCTTCCATGAGAAAGAGAAAAAGAGACAGAGAGACAGCACCCCCAACAGGGGCCGGACCTGGCAGTCCACTCCAGCCTTCAGCCAGCCTCAGGTCATAAGTATGCATGTGCCCGGCATATACGGGGAGGTGCTGGGACTTGAACTGGCCACCTTGCCATGTGGGATTGTCTTGCAGAACATTGCATTTGATCACTGTACCAGTACCACCGTCTGACCCCTCCATTCACTCTTGAGTCATCTCTGAGATTTCCCTTTTCCCTCCCACCCTTGTTTCCATCTGTCAAGCAGCTCCTCCTTTCTTCTCTGTCAGCCCTGTAGTTTCCTCAACCCTCATTCTCCCCATTTGACTTCATACCCACTATATTACGTGTTGGAGCTAACTAGCCAGTGCTTCCTGTAACTGTAATCCATGACTGGTTTCATTCACTATCCACCATAATAGTTATCCTAATGTAGCAATAGAAAATTCAACCCCCCCCATTGTTTTATATAACC